ATATTATGTATTTGCATCTTGCTGAACAGCCATCAGCAGTTTTAATGCTTGATTTATCTATTGAGTTGATAATCCATGTTTCATTTCCAACAAGAGTCATTATATTCTAATATAAGGCAGTGTCTTAGAGGGCCAGTTGAATTGCACCCTTGCCACCATGAGATAGTGTCATTTATATTACTTTAATAGCAGGAGAAAAGAAAATATTAGTTATATTTATGTAACTATGTTTCAAGGTCTATGGAATGATTTGAGAGAAACCCCCAGAGAAAACAAGTAAAAGAGATCTATAATTCTGACCGAATTCCTATTGTTTCTCTCTCTTTGGGCTTAAGGTATTGAAATCCTTGTTAATTTGTAAATTTATTAGTGGAAAGAATTGCATATTCAATTACTTTCAACACAAATGTAACTAATTCTTTGTTCATATTGGCTAATAAACAGCTGTATCCTTAAAGAATCACAGTAGAGTTAAATTTTGGTTGTGAATTTTGAGATAGAAATAGTTCCTAATAAGGGCTTTTCTTTGTAAAGTGAAAACTAGGTGTGAATATTAGACTTTCAGAAGGCTTGGAAAGCAGGACTAGAGTGGAAAAAAGTAACTCTCTCCAGAAGGTGATGAAATAGCTCCAAATAATACTCTATTCACAAATTTTCCTAGTTCCACCCTGTCCATAACTGTCACTCTAGAAGAAAGTGGAAAATATACCTTTAAATGTAACTTCTTTTAAACTTTAAATATCAGAGCTTTTTTGTTGCATGGGCAATTTCTCAATATCATATAGATTAACAGGATCTTGGTTTCCTTCGTACTCTGGCTATTTGATCATGTATTAATAGGCACACTCTGTGTCTTAGAAAGCCATGAAGGATTCCCTTGGTGGAGGGGGTAGTGATTAATTCATTTGCTAGAAGCAAAATTAGGTGGAGTAATATAACTTAGTTTTATTTCTACCAAGCATCATAACAAATATTTCCATTCCTATCATATCGCATTTGCAATTCACCGTTTAAGTGCTGCCACTCGCATTCCTGTGGAAGCTTTTGGCATTGATGTGGCAATGCCATGTACTCTTCAAAATCTTGTTTATGTTAGTTTTTACTCATTTTTTTCATTACAGTCCTTTTTGTCTCTGAGTTCAAAGCAGGAGATCATGGCAGCTAAACTAGTGACAGACAGATATGAGACTATTCTCAGAATCTTCACTCTTATCCTGACACTGAGTTCTCCAAATAAACAAGTGTGTTTAAAATATTCCTGCTTTCCTTGAGATGATTCTCTCTTCTAGGAGTCTCAGCCTTTTTGTAGTCAGAGATGGACCCAGCCTATCCATTCTCCAGACTTGTCAGTGTCTTAAAGTGGTCATTGATTAGGTCTGAGATAATTATTCACCTACAAATACTTTGGGGGCTTACTAAGTTTCTTTGATTGTATTGATAAAAACCTTGTAGCTCAGTCAAAGAAGGTTATGAACTAAATAAAATTCAATTAGGTGAAATGGAGGGAAAGAAAATAATATGTATAGCCCCTAGAGTTTCTTGACAGAGGTACATTCTGTTGGGGAAAAGAACATCATTAGAAAGGGGAGAAAATTAAATTACAATGACAAATAAACACTTGCAGTTGTTTCTAAAGGACAGTAACTGGGGCTTTTTAAAAAAAAATAGTCACCAACATTCAAGGAGAGCCACAAACTCTTTGAGCTAGCTCACTGAAAGTAGCAGTGACAGCTTGTCCCCAAATGCATTCTTCACTTCATTTAGTAACAAAATTTGAGTGTTGTTTGGGCACATGGTTCTTAAACACCTGTGTGGCTCTAAATGATGGGGGCATCCCTTTCATTTTTTCCTTTCCCCTTCTGGCTTGTTGGAGTAGGAGTATAATAGTATACCTTGTATAGCCACCTTTGACCATGAGTCAGAAGCGACAGAATGGTGGAGTATTAAGGTGCAGGAAGTTTGAGTCCCTGACAGCATGATTCTACCTATCTGTCTTGGACTGTTTCTACTCACACTGTTAAATGAGACTATTGATTAAATTTCTATCTAATTTAACTCACTCTATTTTTTTTTTTTTTTACAGCACTTAAGATTATAATCTAACTAATGCAATGAGAAAATGACACACAAAAGCTACCAAGTTTTGATAGCCTGGAAAGATCAGAGTTCTTTACGATAAAAAAATATATTAAGTAAAGCAAAGAAATTAAAATGCATTTTGGCAAAGTTATACCCACTCAGTGTATGTTTAATAGCAGGAAACGCTAATATAAAGTTTTTCTAAAATAATACACGTTAGTTAATTTACTGTAATTCTGCAGCTCATATTCTGAGTGTTGAACACCAAAAGATGTGTTTGCTTGCCATTGAGTTTCAAAAGCAACTTCACTGTGTGGCTCAACGATGGGAAACAACTTGTTCTGATATTCCTCAGGATAGGTTCATCGGAAGATTAAGATAACAGAAGACTCAGAATCTTTTACCTCTCTCTTTATTTCCCACTTCTGTGACAGGGGTTAAAAACAAATTGCTACAGGGCCTCCCCGGTGGCGCAAGAGGTTGAACACAGGGCTGTGAAGCTGTCCATAGCCTCTGCAGCACGAGTTCAATCCCGGGCAGCCAGGGAGTAGACCGCATGGTGCAGCAGACCTCTCCTGTCTCGCCCGCTGCTATGTGTTTCAGTCAATCTGCCTGTTCTGTTCCCCACTCTGTTTCTGGTGGATCCTCTCACCCCCCACGCCTCTGGCCTGTGCCCCAGTTCTTGTATGCATAGATGAATAAATCTTAAAAAACAAACAAACAGAAACAAGCAAACAAAAACCAAATTGCTGCCAACCTAGGAAGGCTTGTCTTCTCTAGCAGTTCCTTGCTCCTTGCACACCATCCCCCCACAACCCAGTGAGTCTCTACAGACCACTGACTATAAGAGAAGGGATCCGCCTCTGGACTGATTAATAATATGTCCAGTCTTGAAAAACCAGTTTAGTTCATGTAACAGGTGAGATCTATTCGGTTGCTTGGATTAGAAAGCATGCAGATGGTGGCATAAACCCTTATGACACAGTCAAACACCTAAACACTCTCTGTTCTAATTTGCTATTCTCAGTCTGTTGGCCTCCATCCCTCTTGGGTACAAGAAGGCTGACACAGCCCCAACTCATATCCTTTTTCAATCCTACACAGAAGCTGGAAGTTGAAGGAAAGAACAGGAAGCAACTTTCTCCTTGCTCACCCCCACTCAGGTCATGGAGGAAACCCCTTGTCTAGTCCCCTGTGGTTTTCACTTAAATTGTAGTCCTCAAACTGCAGCATCAACCGCTGCATCCATTGTTATTAAAAAAGCAACATCTAGGCTCTGTTCTAATTTCTGATCCAGATTCTCATTTTTAATAAGCTCTCCAGGTGATGGTGTACACAGTGTTGTTTGAGAAGTGCTGCCATAGTAAACTTTTCCATAAGTTTTTGAGGCAGAACTTAGTGATGAGCCTATCCCTATGTGAAAGGGAGCGTGGGAAAGTAATCTTCCTTCTTTTACCTCTTTGGTGGAAACAGAAAAGGGCTGTTTTGTGGGACAGCTCCCAGGATCTGCCATCATATTCTCTGGAGACAGAGTGGTGTAGAACACCAGCCACTCCCCCACCCCACCTCCACCTCCCCACTCCCCCACCCCAGCCAAGTTCACTGTGAATCATGGTAGCTCTCTGAGTTTACATAACCTGTGAGGCCCTCCCAGAGAATGAAGCACTGGCCTCATCAGTAATATTTTTAATAGCAGATCGAGACTTTACCCCTGTGATTTTGGAAAGTTTTCTTGTTTATACAATCTTGAGGTTTGAGAGTGCTATCTAAACCAAGAGAATTCAAAGGAAAAACACTAAAGCTAGGATAGTTGAAAGGATGGTGAAAATTGTAGAACAGCAGCCTTCTTTTCAGTTCTGATTGGTATGAGACTTTTTTTTCACTGGAAGAGCTAATGGTATCTATTTTCACGTACCTTCTTCTCTGCTGCACTTCTGTGCATTCAGTTTCTGGCCCTATTGAAAATGGATTAAAAAGTTTGTTTATAGATATGAAAAACTGGCTTAGAAGATTTTAGTCTAATTTTTATTTTTATTTATTTTTTTAAATAATTCTTTTTTTTAAAGATTTATTTATTTATTTATTTATTTATACAAGCACTGGGTACAGTCAGAAGCGCAGGAGGGTGAGATAATTCACCAGAGCCAGAGCGGGGAGCAGAGCAGGCAGAAGGACCGAAGTACACTGCTGAGGGGAGCAGCGGGCGGCAGGAGAGGTCTGCACACCATGTGGGACTCTCCTCTGGTAGCCGGGGAGCAGCCGGGGATCGAACCGGCGCTGCAGAGGCTGCGGGCAGCTTCGCAACCCAGTGCTCAACTGCTGCGCCACCGGAGAGGCCCAGTCTAATTTTCAAAGAGTCAGTTATGGAGATTTAAGATTGGGCCATTAATAATCTAATCCTTCTTAAGTATTTTATAAAGTGAAATTCTAATGAGCTTTTAAATCATACAAAATAATAAAACACAAGGATAAAATGACATATAGAAAAAAATAAGAGGAAAAATGTGGGGAACTTCTCAATCCTAAGACAAATATTTTGTGAATTCCAGTTTAAGCCAGTTTTGGTTTGACTTCCTTCTGATAATAAGATTAAGTAAGGCAGTATGGAAATAACAGATATCTGTCTTTTTTTGGTCTCAGAATATCTCTGCACATTTGCTTGAAATCTCCCAAATCTGATCTTTCCTACTAGTTATTTAAAGAGCATTTTGAGGGAATTCCCATTTTCTCCCTACGCCTATCTTTATTTTGTTTCAATCCGTGGGAAATGTATGTTCCTAATGTTGCATCATCAGTTTGAATTGATAGAATAAATTGGGTGTGACACCAGTGAAACAGAAATATGTCAACTGAAATAATCACCACGGTGAAGCAATTCAAGAGTTTAATAAAAGAGATATTTCTTCAAGTGTTTATTCAGAGCCAAACTGAGGACCCAGGCTCCAGACACCAGCAAATCCAAGTGACTGGCCCCACTCTGAGTTTCTGGCCTCAGTTTATATTGCTACATTATATACACAGAAAGAAAACATTGTTTTTTGTTTTTTCTTAACAAGGGAAAGAAGACATCTGGTTAATTTCTAGTATTTAAAGTTAGTTAAAAGAGATGAGTTTTTCACAAACTTAGTAAGCTGATAAAGAGAATCACTGCTCATAATGTCGAAGAATCACTGTTCATAAATCCAAAGCAACCCTTGGTCTTGCAGTTATTTAAGTCAGACCTATCTTGTCTGGGAAGATGTAACAACCAAAGTCTTTAATCTCTTATCCCAAAAGTACCCTGTCAGCCTCCAGGAATCCTGCTGTGGCTTATGGCATCAGGTGAAGGGGCAAGCTGGGTCTGTGGGCTCACAAGTTCATTTCCCTTGTTTTTCTCCACGGGGTTCTTCACTGCAAGACAAAAAACATTGTCTTGTTGACTTCAGCACCTCCGAAGCGGCCCTGCTAGGGGAAAGGTAAACATTTTCCAATAGAGCAAAATGTAGAACTTTCTTTTGTTGGTCCACAGATTTTGCAGGGGAAAAGCAGGGGAATCTTCTATATGGAGATGGCTGTTTGACCTGGGAAACGCTGCAGACACACTCAGGAGTGTGTCCTTACATGGAAAGTGCAAGTGAGTCAGTGCGAGTGTCCAGGCGAGCAAAATGTTGGAGGTCAGGTCACTCCTTACAACACTTGGCATGTTTTAGGTGCGCATAGTTCTCATCGAATTGGCTAGAAGGCTCCTACAGAGATCTGTTGGCAGACTGTGGTGCCCACTAAAACAACTGTGACTTTCAATAAAATTCAAGTGATGATGCCAAAGCAAACTTGTGAAAATTGTCCACTTTCAGGCAACCCGGATAAAAACCCTAGGAGGCCTGAAGTCACTATTTAAAAGGCTTTCTATAAGCGCCAAGAGGAATGTATCCCTGGCTAATGGCACATACAAGTTCTTGTAAGTGGCAAAGCCATGGTCAGCCCAATTGGCGTTTTGTACCTGAGCCTGGACTTGGCTCGGCCTGATCTGGCCAGTGCAAACAATGAGGCTCCTTGGCCCTTGTTCTCTAAAAAGCTAAATGGAGATTTCAGGAATGTGGTGGTGACAGTGGATCTTCAATTTAAACTTTGCTGGGAATTTGGGGGGAGTCCTGTTTTTACTCTTTCAGATAAACCATGTTCATTGAACTAAGAGGAAAATAATATTTTCAACAAAACCAAAAAGCAGGTTTGATTACGAAACTGGAAACCTTAAGAAAATATTTTTTTCTTTTTTTGGTATTTGAATTTCATATTCTCGTCAAATGTGGGTTCTATCCAGCATGCTCAGTGGTAAATCAGAATGTCACCACTTGATCTTGGCAAAGTTACCTGGTAATGAGGATGAAAGGTGTATGGAACGATTTGTGTCTATCTGAGTCACAGAGTTTTCCTTCAACAGCACGAATGTGTCATCTGTTTTGTCATGGCCCGTCTTGAGCAATAGCAGCTGTGGTGACCATAGGACAGCATGGGAAGGGCACTGACTGACCTGCAGGTCAGGAGCTGGTTTTCGCACATAGGTATCCCTCTGTTAATGCCTAGGCTTTCTGGAAAGATGCGTAAGAAACTGGTAACAGAAGTTGTTTCTGGGGTAGGTCTTGAGGTAGAAACCTGGTGATTGAAGAATGGGAAAAGAAGTTAATTTTTCTTGTATACCCTTATTTCATTTTCACATTTATTCTTCATTTTGCCCGTTCAAGAAAATGAATAATAACTTCAAAGAGAAAAAAATAAACTTTTCTTCACTCTACATTAAACTGGATGGGGATTTTTGTCTCTCTGGATGGACCTTAGATGCCTCTTTTCTATACAGTGACGTGGGACAGAGTTGAAACTACAGAACTACCTAGTCTTTCTTGAAGAAGGGACTTCACAATTATAGAAAATGAAAGTTTCCATTCTGAGTCTGATTGAAGGGAGATAATATATTGTTAATAACAACAATATGAACCAAATGCAATTTCTTACTGGCCAAAAAGTTCAAGTTCCACAGCTGGGTATTGAGTAGCTGCTCTGAGGAGCAGGAAGGAAGCAAGGCAGGAAGGGGGAGGTTGCTTGGGGTAGAACCTGGAGGGAATAGGACAGCAGGTACTCAAGACTCAGAGGATCAAACAAAACCAAGGCAATTTCTAGGAGAGTTCTTGGTAAGATCTTCATCTTTGTTTTGCTTTAGCTGAGAACCCACTTTGGCGCAAATGCCCTTCACCAGCCTAGCTGACCTTGTCTTAGTATTTTCCTGTAACTGGGCTCTGGTCTCAGAGCTCAGAAATGCACTTGCCCACTTCTCAGACACCTCCTAGCTTTATTCCGCCCACTACTCTAGTATGGCTCTCAGGGGAGAAGACTTTGGCTCAGTTCTCTGTCCTTGCACTTTCTGGATCTGGATTTTGCACTGCAGAAGTGATTTCACACTTAGTCACATAGGACTGAATGTCTGCCACCCAGCTATGGGGGCAGATGATGTGGAAGACAGCAAAGACTTTGAAGTCAGGCAGGCAGGACAGGCGTTCACATTTCAAAGGTATCTTCACTTTTTGGCTGCAGAAATATGACTAAGCTCCTTAGAGTGTCCATGCCTGTTGCTTCATTTGGAATGTAATCCCTTAGTTATACATGATGAGTCTGGAAAAAGCCTGTTGATAAAGTCCACTCTGGAAAGAAACCATTCTCATTTGAACTAGGGAGAGTCCAGAGCACAGTCAGTCTTGGCAGTGCTGACATTTTGGAGCAGATAATTCTATGTTGGGAGGGCTGTGATGTGCATTGTGGAGTGTTTAACAGCACCCCAGGTCTGTATTCACTAGATGCCAGTAGCACTTCACCAAACCCATATGTGACAACCAAAATGACCCTAGACTTTGCCAAACATCCCTGGGGGTACTGGGGGAATTAATACCAGTTGAGAACTACTGATTCGGATCATTTTCCTGTCAATTTCATGTTGCTTCGTACAAAGGCAGACTAAGTTGGGTGTCTGGACAATGTTTTCCTTTTTTGGGTGCTCGTTGCCATGTGCATTCACTCCAGCTTTATTAGGCAGCTTACAAGGGTGATTCCCAGTCTGATTCCCCAAGAGTCAGATTAAAGTTTTCAGGATTCAGGAAAAACCTCTGCAAGACAAACAACGTTGGTCTTGCTGATATTGACCAACTCTTTGGTAAAGATTTCACATGTCATTACTCCAACCAAGTTTCTCTCTCTGCAAATATCTGCTAGAAATCAGGGTGTGAGGAGAGGTTGAAAACCTATCCCCTCATAGCAAAGGGAGAACTCAGTAGCAAGCTGCCTCGCAAGACTTCGCACTCAGCAAGAGCAGTCACCACTCTAACTCTGCAGGTCCAAGAATACGGTGCTACCTACTCACCAGCTGGTGTTTCCCTCCCTACCCACCCAGGGTGCTGATGAGCATCTCCACTTCGGGCACTGGACGCTGTGACTTGGATTTGGGACTGTACTTCTCCTATGGATTGTATTTTTTTTTAAAGATTTATTTATTTATGCATACAAGAACTGGGGTACAGGCCAGAGGTGTGTGGCGGGGGGTAGTGAGAGATTCACCAGAGACCGAGTGGATAACAGAACAGACAAATTGACTGAAATACACTGCTGAGGGGAGCAGCGAGCTAGACAGGAGAGGCCTGCTGCACCATGTGCATATCTCCCTGGCCGGGGATCGAGCTCGTGTTGTAGTGGCTGCAGATAGCTTCATAGGTTGTGTCTTAACCCCTTGCGCCACCAGGGAGGCCCTCCTATGGATTGTATTTATATTGATCACTTGAAGTCAGCTTTGTTCCTTTTTTTTTTTTTTTTTGTAAATCAATGGGGTGGTTAAAAGAGAAGAGTATTTCTACTAAGTGGGAGGTTGACAGTGTTCACTATATCCAAGTTGATATGGCTGATAGAAACTGAGAGAGGGCCTCCCCAGTGGCACAGCAGGTTAAGCGCAGTGCTGTGAAGCTGTCCTCAGCCTCTGCAGTGTGTGTTCAATTCTGGGCCAGCGAGGGAGCTACCTACATGGCATGGCAGACCTCTCCTGTCTTGCCTGCTGCTCCTCTCAATAGTGTTTTCTGTCCGTCTACCTGTTCTACCCCACTCTGTGAATTCTCTCACCCTCTCACCCTCCTGCACCTCTTGCCTCTACCCCAGTTCTTGTATAAATAAAAAATAAATCTTTTTAACAAAGAAAGAAACTGAGAGAAACTCTTTGGTGAGGGGATCTGGGTGGCACTGAGATTATTCTAAGTAGATGCTTCAACTGAGAGGAAAGGTTAGGAACAAGGTGATAGCTGCACAGAAGGTTTGAAATGAAGGAAGCTATGAGAAGAGTGTATGCATGGCTGAGGTGACTCTATCAAAAAGAAGGTGCATGCAAATAGCAAATGCAGATTATTGTTATTAAGAAGAGGGCATCTGAGACTGTCTGAGGTTGATGGGGAGAAGCCAGTAGACTAGAAGAACTTAGAGGTGATAGAGAGGAGAATTTAACCAGGGAAGCAAATTACCAGAGAAGAAATATCCACATGCCCTCTTGAGACTTGTGGAAAGAATTAAAATAAGAGGGAATTCCCTTATAACAACTTACTGTTTTGATTAAGAGGTTGAAATGCCCTTCATAAAAATGCACAAGAAAAGGTAAAATGTTAGATGATTATCAGGCATGAACACTCTAATTTAAACCAGCTTTAGAAATCTGTGCGTAATAAACTAGTGATTAAATATTTATTAAATGTTTTTTGTTCACATGCCGTAAGGCTTTGGACTTCTACCAGTTCTCTGAGAGTCAAAATTATTTCAAAATGTTTATATTATATTAAGTAGAAAACTTTAAGTTGTTTTAAATCTGGCCTTAGCATATTGTAACTTTGAGTCATCTTCAGCTAAGCTGATCACTGTGTTTTGTTTTAACAAACAAGGAGTGTGCTCAGTTTAGTGGGCAGATATTTACCGAGTACCTACTATGTGCAAGTGTTGTGTTTGGTCCTGGTTTAGTGTGTTTGGAAAGAGGTTGAGAAGTTGGGTCAATACAACTTGGAGAGCCAGAATTTGTGATGAGCCATTCAGACTTGCAGCAAATAAAGAAACTTAGAACCCTGGGCCCTTAAAATTAAGAGGTTTTATAACACAATATATACAAAATTTTGTTTTTGCCACTGGACCACTAGATAAAAGGAAACATTCCCTATCCTCAGAGAGGGACATCAAAATAAACAAATTCTTCTACTTTCCCTGGCAGTGTTTTACTGTGTCAAACATAGTAAAATTTTAAATTGGAGTCTGAATTTAAATCTGTGACACATAAACAAATAATTTAATGTCCTCTGCTTAGAAGTCTTATCAATTTTAAAAGGTCAGATCAATAATATCTTTTATCCTGCAGATGGTTGACTATTCTAGTTGCTATTTTAAAGTCTATTTCAGTTCCAAGAGTTCTATTTCTATAAGACCACTCAAATGCCTAGAAAATATAATCCTTTTGCTACCCCTTTTCAAACAAGTCCATTTTTCTCTTGAACACTGCAAAGGGACAATTTGTTGTGTTTTTTTGTTGTTTTTGAAGGCATTGTCATGGTTCTGTCACTCTTGGTCATTTTTTTTGTGTATCAGTTTGACTGGAATTTTATCTGAGTCCAACATTGTCAAATCTTTCACTATATATATATGTATATATATATATAGTCAAAGACATATATGTATATATGTATGTGTGTATATATATATATATATATATATATATATATATATATATATGTGTCAGACATACATTGCCACAGGAGGCTGTAAAAAAATTGGCCTTAGGGGGTAATATACACATCGGTTTATGGTTCACCAAAATGTCACAACACATGTAGATGTAAGGTGTATCTTTGGTACTAAAATTTTATGATAGGAGAAAGAGAATTAGAAAAAAAAATATATATATAGACTTGGTAAAAGATAGAATTGGACTTTTTATGTTGAACTTGATGACTTAATGCAGTGTTAATTAAGAATTATTTTTAGGGCCTCCCATGGTGGCGCAGCGGTTGAGCGCTGGGCTGTGAGGCTGCCCGCAGCCTCTGCAGCGCCGGTTTGTTCCCCGGCCACTGGCGAGGTTCCCACAAAAAAAAAAAAAAAAAATTTTTTTTTAAAAAAAGAACTTTGAGGAGCTATAATGAAAATTTTGAGAAATATTTGGGTGTTTTATAATACTTCTTTTAAGTTTCAAAAGTCTTTTTAAAGACCTCTCCCTTTTTTTCTAATCTACCTTGGTATACTTTTTGCAATGTTTTAAGTTTAGGCATCTTTTCCTAATGACCGATGAGTAGATAGAGATATGCTGTACAAACTTTATGGAATGTTACAAAAAAAGAGATGAAACCAACCCATTTGCAACAGCATGGATGGAACTGGAGGAGACTATGCTAACCAAAATTAATCATAAGGAGAAAGAAATACCAAGTGATTTCACCTATATGTGATATATAAAGAAACAAAAAAAGAGGAACAGACAAAACCAAGCCAAAACAAACCCTTGGATTCTGGCTACAGAACTGAGGATGCCAGGTAGGCCGGGATGGAGAGAGCAGGAGGTTGGGGGAGGCCCAGTGGACTATGATGAAGGTTTATGGGTGCATTGTTGGGGGGCATGGTGTAGCAACATACGTGTGAAACCTGTACTTTTAAATCATACACAATATTGTATATGATTTGAAAAGACTTAAAAAAGCATGAACCTGTACTCTTCAATCATATAGTGTTGTAAATCAGTGTTACCTCAATAAGTCTAAAGAAATAAAAGGAAAGTGAGACATCTTCAGTGTAGAAAACTCAATGCAGTGTAGAAAACCCAATTTATGTAAAGACTTTTCTTGCGATAAAAGGCCTGTCTTGAAAAATGATGCTCTTGTCTGAGTTGTATTAGGCAGTCTGGCAGTGAGGTTTTGCAGAAGGCAGTGGCCGGTGGGTTGCTGGGCACAAGCAAGTTATGAACTTCATTCCCAATTTAGCCTTGTCATCAGGGGCAACTCGGTTTTCTCATGTGTAAAACAAAGATAATATGCTTCAGCCTATAGGATTAAAGGATTTGTGATTACATATTTCAGGTGGCCCAAACTCTCTGTGTCTGAATTAGGCAGTAAGGTGAAGTAATAACAGACTAGAGAGAACAAGACGGCCAGCAGATCTATTTTGCCAGACTTACACAAACATCCTGTTTGGGCTCCTGCTGCTGTCATTAAAAAAAAGAAAAAAGAAAAAATTTTATTGACAGACTGTGGACCCTACCCAGTTTAAATAAACTCGAAAGGATTATCAGGGTCTTCCTGGTAGCACATGGGTTAAAGTCTGAGCGCTATCAAGCTATCATCAGCAATTACAGCACGAGTTCTATCCCCGGCCAGGGAGCTGACCTACATGGCACAGCAGAACTCTCCTGTCTCACCCGCTGCTCCCCTCAGCAGTGTACTTCAGTCAATTTGCCTGTTGTGCTCCCCACTTTGTCTCTAGTGAATCCTCTCACTCCCCACACTTCTGGCCTGTACCCAGTTCTTGCATGCATAAATAAATACAAAGTAAATCTTAAAAAAAAAAAAAAAAGGATGGGCCTCCCCGGTGGTGCAGCGGTTGAGCACTGGGCTGTGAAGCTGCCCGCAGCCTCTGCAGCACCGATTCAATCCCCGGCCACTGGCAAGAGTCCCACATGGCATGCAGACCTCTCCTGCTGCCCGCTGCTCCCCTCAGCAGTGTACTTTGTCAGTCTACCTGTTCTGCTCCCCTCTTTGGCTCTGGTGAGTTCTCTCACCCTCCTGTGCTTCTGACTGTACCCAGTGCTTGTATAAATAAATAAATAAATCTTTAAAAAAAAAAAGATTACCAGCAGTTTTCAGAGCAAGATTTGGCTTTTGCGCCAATGAAGAGACATCAAAATGTTCACAAATAGTGGCAAAGAGCAGCATTTCTTCTGTTCCATAAAATCATAAGAAATTCAGGGGCTTGCACAGACCCTACTGCTGTGGGTTTATGAAGGACAAGTAAGCCAGAATTCTTTGTGGTGGGGCCTTTCCAGCAGGGGTCCACTCTGGGTCACCAGTGAAGATGGGTGTCCTCCCGCAGCCACACCTCCATGACTGACATCAAATAGCTCGAGATCACTCGTTGTTGTTTCAGGTGAGAATACCTCGAAAAATCCCACTCTGGACCAGCTCTGCTTAGGTAAGGGATCCTGTGACTTTGATGTGAGGTTGAGATGGGTGTCTGGAGCAGGAACAGAAGAAAGATCATGCTATCCTGAAGCTTGCACGGGCTGCTGGTTGCCCCTTCGGCAGATGTGAGCTGTTTAGCTGTCGCTGAGAATCAGGACTTTTCTCTCCATGTTATAAATAGGGATGGGTAAATATTTTGGATTCATCAGCCTGCAAATATTCTTTAGATGTTTTGGGTTCAAGTAAACAGAATACATAGTGCTAAGCACATGATCCCTTGGTTTTTTAAGGACTGTGTTTGATTTATGGAAAATGGGATCCATATGTTTCTGCTTCATTTACACTTAAATCATGAAAAGCTTGTGTTGTAAGAGCTAGTTGATGTCCAAAATGCCTTCTGAGCTAGATTATGTGTGTGTGTGTGTGTGTATTGCTTTAAAGTTTTGGAGCGAGATAGAGAACAAGCAGCAGAGAGATCATGAACGAAGAAGACCAGTTTTACCAAGACAAAGTAACTTTAAACACCAGGAAGGTCAATTTAAGCTGGAACTACAAACCCATAAATTTCAAATGGGTTTAGAATTTGGGAGAGAACAAAGGCTCTTCGCCAGCCAGTTGTAGAAGTGGCTCAGATGAATATAGAAACACAGCTGCCAACGGCAACCCCACCCAGGACGAGAGGGCTGTGAAGGCATGGTTAGCATCCAGGCTAACACATGTGCCCACTGCTGGCAGAGCTGGTACTCCCAGGCTCCAGAGAGTTTTTTGCTCTCTTTTAGCAGGAAATATCTGCTCTGTCTGTCCACATATTCCTGGGATTGTCCTCTGCCCTAGGCCAGCATTTCCTATCTGTTGTGCTGCCATCTGGCCTGCATAGTCGGTCACTGGACTGAATACTGTGTATGCATTTGAGATATGCTTAGTTATTGGGGAATTTCCTTAGAGAAATATCTCATTAATCTCACAATAGGACTGCCAAAGCATGCAGTTTGTGTAAAGTAAGAAATATGTTAACTAGGGACCCACGAGCTGGTATCAAATCAAGATTTCTTACCCCCATCTCATTATTTAGTCACCTCCATAAGAGCTCTTAGGGCTTTTTAGGCATTCTGTATCATTTATGTGTGGCACCTTATGAAAGGTTTCGCCTAAATTAGAACTGTTTTATGTGGTAGTATAATTGAGATGTCTTTAAATCTATGTAAAGGATGTATTTCTTCATCTTTAGATCATTATAGACCTTTAGGTCTATATTCCTAATAGAATTTTAGGATGTGGGACTTCATTATCCCATGGGGTCTTTAGACGGTATAATCTGAAATCTCTTTATTAGAATTAACTGTCTTGTGACTCACCTACATACTCCAATGCATTTGTCTGTGGGTAAGGAAGAAGATTTTGATAACTCAGGTTAGGGCTTTTTCTATCCTAACAGCTAACCCTAAAAACATGTAATGAGGGTCTCCCCTCGTGGCGCAGGTGGTTGAGCGCCGCACTGTGAAGCTGTCCACAGCCTCTGCAGCGTGGGTTCAATCCCGGCCGACTGGCAAGATTCTCACATGGTCATGGCACAGCAGACCTCTCCTTTATCGTCTGCTGCTCCCCTCAGCAGTATGTTTCACCAGTCTGCCGGTTCTGCTCCCTCTCTGTCTCTGGTGAATCCTCTTACCCTCCCATGCATCTGGCCTGTACTCAGGCTCTTGTATAAATAAATAAATCTTTAAGAAAAAAAACAACATGTAATGAAATGTTTCTTAATCCCATCATCCATCAATAATTGCTGTTATGTATCCTTTAAGTGCATGCACACACACACACACACACCCCACTGACAACTGTTTGCTCTGTAGGATTCCTCTTCTCTTTGCGTTTAGCAATATGTTATGGACTTTTCCCTATCTTAATGAACTGTTTTGCCTCATGAGCTTTTAATGCTTGCAGAATTGTAGGATTGTGCTACAATCAGCTTAAGAGTTCATAGTATTTTTAGGATGGAGATTTTAAAAATCACTATTTCATTTACATTTTAAAATGGCGATTTCAGTTTTCAAAATGTTTGCTATATCTTAGGATGCATTACAAATAAACTAACTATAGCTTCAAAGTGTTGTCATTCCTTACAGTTTAGACTAATGCATAGACTCCCTTTGAGAGCCAGGGAGAATTTTCATCTTCCTCCTGTAGAAGAGGCTAAACTCGCCTATATACATCATGCTTTTCAAAGATCCTAGAAAAGATCAGTAAGATAATGAGCACGTTTTTTTTCCCTTAGGAAAAAACAAATTGTGTTTCTGCTCCATCCTCACACTAAGAAGAGCCTTGTGTCTTAAATTCATCTGGATTTCCTTGTTTGATATTTAATCCATTGATAAAGTTTCTGAAGTCAATTTCAAAGAAAGCTGAGGTCCATACTTTTTTTTCCTATCCGTTGCTGAGTTCCTTCACAATTTGTTTTGGATTTTCCAAGTGGTTACTAAAGAACTCAGTCCTGTCCCTTTTGTTGACAGGTTGCCAGGATACATCCAGGCGACAAGGGCTGGAGTCCCTGTTCCTAGCACCGCACATTCTATACAGGGATGTGCAGGGAGATGAATCCTGCCATTCCCCACCACTCTGCTCCTGTGTCCACCAGCCCCCTCCCTGAGGGGCTATGGGAAAGCTAAAATAGAAAAATAAAGAACAAAGTTACAAGGTAAGGCGCTCAGGTGTGCTTTCCTGCTGTTGTCTGGTAGCTAATCTTACCTTTTGACTAACAGTGGCTGCTTATTTTAAATACTCTTGATTTTCTTCCACTTCCTTCTCACCTATATGTAGTAAATATTTCCTTGCTATAGAAAAGGAATCCAAAGAAAAATAAGTAATCCTTAAGTAAAAAACCTCAAGTACTACTACACTAACTAACAAATATCACTTGTTTCACTTCACTCCATGAGGCTGGCAATATTTGAACCATGCATTAAATATACTTATGTGAAAATACACTTTTTTTTAAAAGATTATTTATTTATAGAAGCACTGGGTACAGTCAGAAGCACGGGAGGATGAGAGAATTCACCAGAGCCAGAGGGGAGAGCAGAACAGACAGACTGATGAAATACACTGCTGAGGGGAGCAGCGGGCGGCAGGAGAGGTCTGCGCGCCATGTGGGACCCTCGCCCGTGGCCGGGGATCGGGGATCGAGCCTGTGCTGCAGAGGCTGCAGGCAGCTTTGCAACCCAGCGCTCAACCGCTGCGCCACTGGGGAGGCCCCTGAAAATACACTTTTTAACATTAATCGAGGAGTATGATTGTTAGCCAGATTGTTCAGGAAAGAAAAGGTGGTGACAAAGGTTATTGTTCTTTAATTGACCAGTGGAATTTTTCATTTACTCCTGATAAAATATGCATGGAGTGAATTGTATCTAAAGTAAATATGTTTGATAAATTTATACAATCATGTGACCCACTCACCTTAGTCAAGACATAGGACATGTCTGTCATCCAAAAAGTTGCCTCACATCCCTTCCAATGAGCCTTCACAACCACTGTTCTGCTCTGATCTCTATCATGAGAGAATAATTAGGCTGTTTGTGAACTTCGTGTGAATATAATCATGCAGTATGTATTCTTGTATTTGATTTTTTTTGACTCATCAAGATGCTGAGACACATTTTCCATGATTTCCATGTTGCTGTTTGTGAGGTTGATTTTTTTTTTTACAGATATTGTATTATAGGATATTTGTTTATCTAGTCTCCTATTGATTGGTATTTGTTTGTTTCCAGTATTGGTCTTCCTAATGTAAGCTGCTGTAAACATTTTTGCACAAGTCTTTTGGTGAACATATGTTTTCATTTTTCTTGGCTTCAGACCTAGTACTGAAAGTGATGGATGACAGGGTAGGTTTAACTTTATAATGGGTATGAAATTATATGTCGCTGTGGTTATGAAGCCATTGGTGATTAATGAGGTTAAGTATTTCTACTTGTTGGAGATCTTTCTTTTGTTAAATATCAGCTCACATTTTGTGTACATTTTAAATGTGTTTTTCTCTTTATATCATCTTTATTGATGTATATTCACGTGCAATAAGATTCTCCCTCCTAAGTACACAATTTGATGAGTTTTGACCAAGGCTACATCCTTTTTGCCACCAATGATACTAATGTAAGAACATGTACTCCATTCTCTAGTCACACCCCAATGCACCAAACACACACTGATCAACTGTCTGTCCCCTACAGTTTAGCTTTGCCTGTTCTTCAGTTACATATAAACAGAATAATTCAGTATATACTCTTTGGTGGATGACTTCATTTTTACGCCATAATATTTTTTTGAGAGAAAACATGCTATTGTATCAGTAGTTTGATCATTTTTATTGTGGGATAATGTTTTACTATATGAATATGCCAGAATTGGCTCATCAGTTTACCTGTTCATAGATATTTATGTTGTTTCTAGCATTTCACTATTAAGAGTAAAAGCTGTTATAAACATTGTGTATGTCTTTTGGTGGACATATATTTTCATTTCTCTTGGATAATTATTTAGAGGAAGAATCCCCATGTAATCGAGTATCTGCCAAGTAGTTCTCCAGACTGATTGTAATATTTCATACTCCCACTAGCCCCTTAGGGGTGTTCTGGCTTTTCCACACTGTCACTAAGACTTGATACTGGTAATCTTTGCAGACTGAGCCATTCTTTTTGTAAATGGTGGTAGCTCTGTGGTTTTAATTTGCATTTTATTGATGGCTAACAGCTAATGATATTGAGTACTACTTCATGAGTTTATTGATTATTCATGTATTTCCACTGTGAATAATTTTCTGAAAGCTTCTACCCACTTAGAAATGAGTTTCCTTTCTGATAAATATAATCATATTCAAATATATAACTTGGAAACATTTCTTCCCAACCTGTACTTTACCTTTAAAATTTCTTTTTTTCCTTTTTTAATTATTTATTTTTTACATCATTGTTCATTTTTAAACAATAGTTGCTTCCCCCAATACCAGGTGTAGTCCCTATAGAATTTCCTTCCCCAAGGCACCTGTGCACCATCACCTCAGTCCCCTGTGCTCCTCCCTCCCTCCCTCTGATCCCTCTTCCTCCTCCTCCCCTGCAGGATGTCTCTGGTTTATAATTGTTTGTTTTGGTGTTTCTTAAAGAGCATAAATTCCCCATATGTATAAAGTAAAGTTTAAAATACTATTCTTTTATGGTTAGTGCTTTTTGTATTTTGTCCAAGAAATCTTTGCAAATATGGAGGTCAAAAATATACTCCCCTTTGCTTTCTTGCAGAAACTTTATAATTTGAACTTTTATGTTTAATTTTGTGATCTACATTGAGTCAGGTTTTGTGTGTTGTGAAAGCAGAGAATCAATATTAATCTCTCCTTACAGTGACCTTTTTTTTCTACCATCATTTCTTTAAAGGATTTTCTTCTCTCCATTGAATTGTCTTGGCATCTTTGTCAGAAACAAATGACCGCATATGCGGATTGACCATATATTTCTGGACTGTGTTTTGTCACATGAAGCTATTTATCTATTTTTATTGGCATCATTAACTTCTAATCATCCAATTCATCTTGGCTTGTATGTAGTGACACCAGTAATCGCAATAATAATAATAATATACATGTTGAGTCTTCCCATGGCTATTTGCCAGTGGAACCATGTATAAACGTTTGAATCAGGTTGGAAATTCTTTCTTACATAGTATCCAAATTATTCCCTAAGCAGTAATCTGATGTTAAATGATTCTGAAATAAGCAAAAGCCAAAAATAAGCAATTATAAATTTATCCAAGTATGATAGTCCCAGTAAAAGATGTGTTTTTTTTAAATCCATTTATATAGAATGTGACTTAATTTTCAATTACTTGTTCAATAATTTGAAGGTCTACTGTATTCCATTCACTGTTTTAGACAAGAAAGAAGTGAGCCATTTCTTTGCTCATAATTCCTGCAGGTAACATTTTAATAATCTCTCTTGTTTATTTAACACTATTTTTTTTCACAATTACAGAACAAAAGTATATTCTAGGTAAAATAAGTATCACATTAAATATCTTTATGCATTTGTATGAATTGACAGAAAATTATTAACACTCAAATGTTTACTAAAGAAAAACATTTCCTCAGACTTTCCAAATTTGCTGTCACTGTCAGAAAATATCCATTTCTTTTGAGCCTTAAAATGTTAATTGTCATTTCTGTCAGTTGCATTTTCCTTATTTTAGAAATTGAATCTTATATATTATTGCTAATAACAATTTGTACTGGTTCACAATAGGACTGTTTCATCTCCAGATCTATATAACTTAAGTGAATGTCTAATATTTTAAATAATTTTCCCAAACTCTCCAGTGAATGAAACATTTTCCAGGGTAGATGCAGTTCTAGAAATAAATCATAAATGGTGAAGAATGTTGAACAGTTCCAGAACACCCTTCTTGAGGGAGCAGTGGTGATTCCTCTGGAGTTTTAAAAACAGAGGAGCATTTTCTAAATATCACAGCATACAAGAAAGACAATGGGCATACTCCATGTTGGGGACAACAGGGAGGGAGATTATAAAGGAAGCAGCTTGTTAGTAAATTGAAAGTGATGACAAGGTGCAAGTAGAATGTTCAGGATCCAGCACAGACAAGCTTTTATTTGAGAGTGAACTCTAAGAGAAGCCTGATGGACTTGCATGCAGCAAAATTTGGTAGGACACTGTTGCATTGAGTGCTATTTTGCAAACTCATATTGATTAGTAATTGGATGGTTCACTGTTAAAATGGAACCTAATTTGTGTGTTCAGGGATCAGAAACTTTCCTACAAATGGCCAAATTATAATAAATAATGTAGATCTTGCAGGTCATATATTCTGCATTTGTTAGGCAAAAGCAGTCAAAGACAAATACGAATGGATAAGCATGGTTCTTTTCCAGGAAGAAGTAGATGGCTGACCAGATTTTGGTTGGCAAGATAGAGTTTGTTGACCCTCACTCTAATCTTCAAGGAATTCTGATGAAACATCTTTCAATGTATGAAAATCATACATTGATCTTTAAAGGCCTGGGACCCCAAAACTGCTCTTCCTTTGGGTGCCAGCAGTTGGGGCTCTCTTTAGAAAAGATCTAAGTTTCAGGGAGAATTCAACTTTGAAAGTTGTCTGCACTCAGAGCACATGTACAAACAAGAGAGACAATATGTGGATAAACTCAACTCTGGAACACCAACCTCTCTGATTCTCCTCCAGCTTTCTGAGTTCTTTTTTCTTTTAAAGATTTATTTATTTATGTATACGAGAACTGGGGTACAGGCCTGAGGCGCAGGGGCGGTGAGAGTATTCACCAGAGACAGAGCAGGGAACAGAATAGGCGTATCTACCGAAATACGCTGCTGATGGGAGCAGTGGGCGAGACAGGAGAGGTCTGCTGTGCCATGTGGGTTACCTCCCTGGCAGAGGATCAAACTCATGCTGTAGGGATTGAATTTGTGCTGCGGTGGTTGCAGATAGCTTCATAGTGCTATCTATCTATCTATCTCTCACCCTCCCACACATCTGGCCTGTACCCTGGTTCTTGTATGCATGAATAAATAAATCTTAAAAAAAATGTTTAGCATGTTTACATTACTTCTGTGATTGCTATAAATGATTTAGCAGAAAAAGTAAAAATCTTATCCTATCCTAGTCATCTTCTTATACTTTTCT